CGTGCCAGAATCAATATGAGCGATCGTCTCCGTGTCTCCGTAGCAGACTATATTTCAGGATCAGAGTCAGAAGATGACTAACAGATATGGATACTTCCACTTACAGAGGATGTGGCCAGAACGATTGAATAGAACTGTTATTTTCTTACCGATCTCAGGCATTACTAGCAACCTCTCAATGACTCATTATCCGTGTTTGGGGCTCACATTACACATATCCTCTGTCTCTGGTGACTCACCTGCGCTAGAGTTTATTTCAATATGTTCGTCATTTAGTACAAAGATTACAAGTTGGTCGACGCTCACATTTGGCTCGTTTGGTTCCATGCATTTATCTTTTGCGGCAAATATCATGACATCACCCTCAATATCAATCGGAACATATGGAACAGATTAAATATATAAATTACCATGAACTTAAATCTCATAAGATATCTTTTGCAGTCCATTACAGTCTTAGATTCAGTAGGGACTTCAATTCTATCATGCGGAAAAACAATATTCCGATAATGTTATGAAAATTTCACTGTAAACACAGATGGCATGATTTGTTCGCACCTGCTATTATCTCTGAATATCTGATGTAATTTGTACGAGTCCAAGAAAATTAAATCTTCCCATTATCAGCTTGTGAAAATGAACAATTATTGATTTCGAACAGCTGTAATTTTCTACGAGCCTTGTAATCAGAGAGGCAGCCATGTTTGTCTATTGTTACTCCAACGCCATGCAGATGCACAATGCATGACCATAGGCCAAGGACCAGCTCGCCCAGCATGTCTAGATATCCCGAAGTGCTGCCGCTCCTGCGAATGCATGACAACATAAAACAAGCCATTCAATTGCGCAGGGTACAAAATTTTTAACAGTACTTTGAGGAAACGACGCTATTAGATACACTTTCGAATGATATGCTACCTGTAAAAGCTCCTTCTTCTCATCACCCACCGCAGCATCTGTGGCTCAGTACTTTTCTAATCCATACTAGTGGCTTTCTCTTCTTCATTGGACTTCCGTTTTTGTTTACTCCAAATTTTTAATTTTGGCTCCTCGATCCGAAGTCTCACCGGTCTGTTCGGTGTGTTTTTTGCTGCGTGTAGGGCATCTCAAGTCGCATCCTGACTATGAGATTGTTTGATTCAAAAAATAGTGCCCGATTTTAACATTGAAAGAATACAAGGTGATCAGAGATCCCGATAAATTTATACTTCATATCTAGGCTCTATTCTCAATTTGACTGCTCGCTCTTGAAATTTTGCTGTGCAGGGTTTCGACCAGAAAAGAGCGATATAAATGTTTTCTGACCGATAACTAATCGGGAGAGCCTGAGTTCTGGCTCTGAGATTATTATTCATAATTAGAGCTGTAGAAAGCACCGCCTACAGGTGTTCATGCGCCATTCCCTCACGTAAAAAAAGTATATGTGTTTTATTTATCATCTGATGTCGGCCAGGCTGCTATCCAGTAAGGATAAAGGACATCGATATTTTTTTGATTCATACTGTATCCAGCTATTTAGCTTTGACAACGACGGATGTTCATCAAAGAAGTCAAATCATTTAGATCACGATTTGTGCAGCTCGAGGTACATGTCTGTCTCCTCAAACTACCCACTAAAGATAAACGTCTCGGTGCAATTATTCCCAACAAGTCATCCTGTATTACTATGAACAGAGCTACAGATTTCATGAGACAAATCGCCTCCTCGGAGACAGAGGTGTGCTTATTGTACCACTTGAGTCGATTACTGTCTAGCACATTTGGCTCCTTCATGACCCAGGCCGCAACTTGTACATTGCTCCTAAATAGGGGCCTAGACAATGATGCCACACGAGGTGCGCATACCCATCTATAACTCCCTTCTTCATATAATTGGAGATGGCTTTTCCTCCATGATTAAGAGTTGATGATGAGAAGGGCTTCGACTCTACCATCTGATCTAATCGTGGCTAGCTTGATGGGAATGGTGATAGGGGGATGTGTTGAGAGATGAAGACGATACAGACGGCAAAAGTGATCGGGAATCCTCATCGAGGCTTGGATGAAGGTTTTACTCAATCTGGGCTCTGCAGACTCTACAATGAGAGCTAGAGAGTCGTGGGAGACACCACTGAAAGATGATTATCATAGTTCCCTTCGCTTCTTTGAAGTGTGAGTATGATCAACTCCCTGAGAAGCGTCAACTTGATTCATGCTGATAAGTGATAGTCGCTAGGCCTACAAACGTGATCACTAAGAATCTCGTGAGCCCTCACTACTTTAATGTAAGTCATAGGGTAGCTGACAGCTGCACAGGCGATGAAGAGGATGAGTGCGAAATTGATGCCATGTTGAACATGCGCTGTTTCCGCTTCATGACCATGGCGACATGCAAGACGTAATAAAACGCCCATTTACCCAACCACCTCCATTCATATCCGGTCTTTTCCGGCCTAGATTTAGGCGTGAGTGACTCCGCTGTAGCTTCAGCTCCCATTCACAGGATCGCTGATACTGGACATCTGTTAAGTTGAAATTGAGATATACGGCAAAATAAACGTGGTTGGAAGTTGCCACGCTTTCGTCAACGGCTGCTGGAAGCGAGAGATGGGACGAATTAGACAGTCAAACCTGCGCGACACGGCTAGGGGGAAGGGCCGAATGCGTCTCTTCCCCATGCATTCATGGAGCCTCACGTCCCCCCGGAACAGAGGTAGATCTGTACCGGCGAGCGATCAGGACGAGCCGGGACTCCCCCTGGGCGCCGAGATGGGATGAGAGCAGGGATGTACGGGTATAGAAAGCGTATTTCAGAATAATGGAATACGATCACGACCGGTGCAACCGCCAATTCTGGAAAGGAGAACTCTCAGTGTGATCTCCACGTCATGCCAAGGTTTACTATTAACATGTACGCTCACAGTCAGATCAGACTCTACATTCTTAAGTGGTGTACGGGAAAGCATATTTGATGCTTTTGTACTTCAACTATGCCAATTACAGGAGGAAGTAACCCCGTTTTGAGTATTACCCTGAGTTTCAATGAACTTTGAGCTACGATAATTTTACAGAAGTTCATCGTTACCATCTTTTTGCCGGGGGCTTGCACCCAAGCTCAAGGAGGGTGATGGGGATAAACTAACTCATTTTCTTTATTCCTACTGACCGAAGAGATGTATTATTGTAAAATTGCAATGGCTGACTATTTTACACGTGTCAAGTAAGTAAATAACCATTAATTCCGTAGGTGCCGAAGGTAGCTTAGCATCATCTAGACAATCATCTCACCTTACAGATCTAAAGCAACCTTCTAGACTTAAGGGCCGTCCTGGGATTTTGGGCCTGAAATGGAACTGGCAGGTGCATATCTTGAGCAAGCTTGAGAGAAGAATTTGTAGCTGGGCTAGCCAAGATGTATAGAATTAACATGGCCTCAGCAACACCAGTAGTCGAGTCAGAGAGGTTCCATCCGAGGTATATCAGCTGAGGGAGTCAGTTGCCTTATTTTGAGCGTTAATTAAGCCGTAGTATGGATGGGGGAACGAGGAAATAGCAATGCAACACATTGCAGCAATTGGCAGAGCCAACAGAGGTATGCAGTGAAAAATTAAAGCAGCCAAGTATCCTTTGCTAGGAGTATCAAGGCGGACAATTAGGATAGGGAAATTGTAGTAGAGCCAAATTCATGCGGACCATAGTATCCCCAGTAGGTCGAGGGTAATGCCAGCGAGTCCGCTCTCGCGGAGATGAGGCTGAGGAATGACCGACAATGCACGTCATGCGCTGACTTCTTCAGGTGGAGGCGACGAGTTTGCAGATACAAACGAGTGGCAGAAGAAGGGGCGGCGACTAGATGAGAAATTAGATTCCTGCAGCGCGCGATTAGGAGGCAGGCAGCCGACGATGCCAACCTACTCTCATCGACGAGGACGCCACGATATCCCATATCCACATTGGAATTCCGTCCGATGGGAGTCACATAGCTCTTGCACCCCCGGCCCTCTACACGTCGCGCGCGAGGCGAGACGGCACGCTTTAAGGGAGCGTCTGTGAGTTGTAAATGCCACCACAGGAGGAAGGTCCAAGTTATGGGCCGTCGCGTCGCGGGCTCCGCTAGCTGTCCGTCATCTTCCCCTTCAATGGAATTAAGCCAATCCTCAAGGGTTATCATTACGTGACCTAACGTAATTCCTGCTTAACCGCTACTGGACCTCGGCCAACGACGCACATGCGGGCGCACGTAGCCGATACAGCTGCGCGAATGGTCGATCAAATTTGAACGAAAGACATCTCTCTTGCTGTGTCTAAAAGAGCGAATGTTGAGATCGAAAGTCGATTAGTCGAATCTGGCTATCATCTTCTCAGTCAATTTCACTTGCAACTGCCGGGAAAGGCTGAATTTTATCGGGGCGCACTGCGTAGGGTTGGTAGACACGGCTCCACGGTGCTCCCTGGCTTACGCAGTTGCTGTTGGTGTGCAGCCTTCCGAACTCGACTGACACTCCTAAATACCGCCTCTTCCGCAGAGCAGAGTCAAGGCGCCAAATCAAATGAACTTAAATGGTACAAAGGATGCAGACTTGGCGCATCTAACGACGTCTAGTACTGTAGGAGAGGCAGCGAAATGATGCGCATAACCTTCCTCTGCGGCTGGCACGCTCAGCAGTATTCATACGCGGCCGGTCGGCTCTAAGAGGGAAATGTCTTCAGCATACGGGAGATGAGAGATAGGTCGAGAAGGTCCAAGAAGGATCTGGTCATGAGTGAGGTCAAGGCATTCGCATTACTTGCGGAAAGCAACTTCAGGGTGGCGAATACACTCTGCACGGGATCCAAGCACTGGAGTAATTCTCCCTTAGAAGCCGAGGCCAGAACCCACAAATTTAATATGAAGCCTTTGCTCATAATCTTAGAGGCCCAGGACACGGATGTCGCGCAGCGGGTGTGCAGGCGTATGCAGGACGGACTTATGGTCAAGTCTCATTGGAGGAGCCGACGTTGGGCTTCATCCGGAAGAGAGGCTAGGGATGGCGGTCACGGGGTAGTACGGCAACTATGAGGCTGCTGCTCTTAGGTCGCAGCCCACCACACTGCACTCTATCTTCAGCCTGCTCTTCCAGCCTGGCCGTGGCATTGCTTGCGGCAACTATTGTACCAGCTCTGCGGAGGCGACGCTTATCGATCAAATCCCTCGCAGATTGGTGGCTGGAATCGTAGTGAGGATACGACTCTCGTTGCTCATGCGGGTCTTTGGCTGGCATAGTCGGCGGAAGAGGGTCCTTTCCGCCCATGGTGGATTGCATCGTGAAATGAGGGAAGCGGTGGCTGACAGAAAATACACGCTGCGTACTCCTTAACCTACTCGGTGCAGCAACTTTCGTTCGCGGAAGCGTAGAGTAGGTGAGACGTCAGCGTCAGTAATCAAAGGTCTTAGTGAGAGTTGGACCTTTCGACTTCACCTTGCCTTCTCCCTCAAATCTTCTGGGCTTAGTGCCAGTCTCTTACTGGACTTCCCATTCCTCACACCCTCACTTGCACCCTCACCTTTTCGCCGATGCGGACGAGGTGCAGTTTCCAACAATGCCCACCCTTTGTCGCCCAATCTGCCCCGCCCCCCGATCAGACCCTGACCCTAGCTCTAACCCTAGCCGACTCCACCAATGGCCTAGGCACTGCCTGTGTTGTGTCGGTTGCTGCTTATTGCACTTGCTGTAGCTGCTGCGGTTGCAGTCCTCCTCCCCCTTTAAAAATTCATCACCCCCTGGAGAACGACTTTCTGGCACCTTTGGACCGGCCGCGCGAGACTCATAATCCACATCACTGGTGAAAATTATTTCTATCACAAACTTCTCTGGCCCTGTCTCCCCCTTCACACCCGCTAGCAGGGAAGAGAGAAGCTCCCTCCTTCCAATCAGCCCTCACGCTCGCGGCGCCGTCGCTTTCCCTCCTAGACATCCTCCCCTCTATCCCTACCCTTCCCCTCGTCTCCTCCCCACCCCCCACATGCTACACGCACACTCCTCGCTCCTCCTTCTACATATCCCGTGACCCTCCAAGCGAGAAACGGCGTTGGTATGCTACAAGACTTTTTGAACCTCATTCTAACATTCGCTTACACCCCCAACGTAACTCCCCGAGCTTTTCGTTCAACCTCTACCCGCCCTTTCCTTCAACATCTCATATCTCCGCTCGCCCGTCGCTCTACCACCGTCATCACTCACTTTCAATTTGCTCAATCTGCTGCCGCTTGCACAGCAATCGACTCCCATTTTTATCAACGTCTAAACAGTTACTGTCGTCTAGTCCTCACTTTCTCTTTCAACACAGTTCTCGAAGATCCCTGGCCGGTCATCTCTTAACGCAAATACCAAACTAGGCAGTATCTCACTATCCGCTAAAGATTCCTGACCTCGCTGCCCCACATTTTGTTCGGCCAGCCAGCGTTATATCAGAGTCGTGATATTTTACCCAATCAATACTCCGTAATTGCTCGTGCCGGCCACAATTCTGACGGAAGCACTCCAGGATTAGACGTCGCTTTGCTCTACCAAATCTTAACAACGGCCTCGACACAAATTATTTGGTTATCTGCTATCATAGATCGTCCCAGAGTCCGACATCCTATTTTAGGTTGTTGATCCGCATTGGTCCAGTCGTTTAGTTAAAGATAGGTCGGAGACGTTTACTCGTTCATCTTGCCTTTCCTCGCACTTGACAGAGCTGTAACCTAAAAAAGGGTTATATACACATGAACGACTGTTGATATCAGAGGTACGACTCCTGTAGATGACGAAACAAATATTTGCAGAATACACTAGCTCTTCTCAAGTTTATACCTAACTTTTACCATGACTAATAGACGCTAGTGAGCCTTCGACATAAATTTATTCACCTTTTGCTACCCTCCGCTGAAAAAAATTATTTCAGCCACACGAAAACTTTTCTTTGGAGACCAAAGCTGCCACTCATTTATTTTTTTAATAATTTTCTGGAAATTTTCCGCTCGCTTATAGCTTATCCATATTTTCTTCCGTCAATCTTAGCTTTTGCTCCCAGCAAGGCCTCAATTCATCAAATTTAGTGTAAATTTTAGAAATTCGCCCTCACCATGTCGCACCGTCAACCTGATGAGACTTACTTCATCGAGGACGATTCACACGCAACGAAAAGAAAGTATCACCAAGCGGCTCTCGCCAGCAAGCGTAAGCAAGAAGCTATGGCCAACGAACTATCGCGTCAAGCTTGTGAAACCTACATGGATGACATAATGAAGCATATGTATGAAATGGAGGTTAATGCTTTGCTCAATCTGATTTTACAACCAACTAACCACATCATAGCTTCTAACGTTGCCGGACGTTGCTTCCATAGACATTCAACAAGAGATACAATGGTTTATGCGTCCTTACCTTATAGATTTCCTGGTCGAGGCGCATGCTGCCTTTCAACTTCTTCCTGAAACTCTTTTCCTAGCTATAAATCTACTCGACAGGTATTGCTCAAGAAGAGTCGTTTACAAGAGACATTATCAATTGGTTGGATGTGCATCGCTGCTCATTGCTGCAAAATACGGTGACAGAAAAGACAGAGTTCCTCTCATCCGCGAATTAAAGTCAATGTGTTGTAATTTATATGATGAGGATATGTTCTCGCAAATGGAATGGCATGTCCTTAACACTTTAGAATGGATGATAGGACACCCAACAGTCGACAGTTTCCTACAAATAGCAGTCCAGGATGGCAATAATAAAGAAGAGATAGCTGTAGTTGAACATATGTCGTCATACATCTGCGAAATTGCAACATATCACAAGGAATTCGTCTCCAAGAAGCCATCTGTTATGGCAGCCGCAGCTCTAACACTGGCACGAGGTATCCTTGGTCGCTCTAGCACGTGGGAGGTCCAGTGCCCAGATGTTCGTCTGACTTTGCTCGAACTATCAAGAAAAGTTGATTGCCCGTCACAAGTCCTATATCGAAAGTACGCCTCACCACAAAGCTCTCGCGTTGCTCTTATCGTCGATCAGTTTCTCAGAGAACAAGAGGTCATCAGCAGGCAAACACCGACACTGGCACCGCCCACTGGCTCACGGCTCCTTAAGTCTCCGCAAACTGCCGAAATGTACCCCGGAACACCTCAGAAATTGCCTTACAGCGGCAACCTAGTCCATGGATACATGACTCCTCCCATTACGCCTGATGGCGAATACTTTGTCGGTGAAAACAATAGCCGTGGCTCTTGCTCTAACTCTTCGTGCCCCATAACACCGTCTCCATGTATACAGAGTGTACATCCACCACATGCAACCAATATTTACCAGCATTCGTGTTTAAACTAGGGGTACGGCCGTAAGCACCCAATAACTCAATCAGTTTCAAAACAAAGCATCTGTAACAACTCATATAATCTTCCGGTTCAGGCGTCCGGATCATTGCATTTATACCAAAATCAGCTTTTATTTAAGGCCATTCATCTCCGCTGGATGTAATTCTCATTCTTCAATTCTTCAACTGTTTTTAGCGACTTGATAACTTCTGTTCGTTTTTTTACCAAACATACATATACCCGCTTCTCACTTAGGTCATAGTCTCGTGTTCGCAATGGTAGATAATTGTGGGCATGAGGGCAGCAAAATACACTTGCTTGAGCCGGTGACCTTCAGTGGCGGAGGCAAGCAGACTAAGTCCCCAAGTTGTCCCGGCTACCAAAAATCTATTTTTAGGATAAGTAAAGTTTCTAGTACTTGATGCGCGGGGGACATCATGCCAGTCCTTGTGGATTTAGTTTCGGTGAGGCCTAGCTGTGAGATAAGTCATGTGTCAGATAATAGCGACGGCCAATGGTACCGTGTACGACTAAATACTTCTGATGCTAGTAAATAGGTCGGTCGACGATAATATTACTTCATCTCAATGTCTTGCAATGTGCATAGCTTGACTTTATGAGGCAAACCAAACTGCTATTTACTCCTGCCCTAGAGAAATACTCGAGTCCCATGTAGGATAAATAATCCTAAAAAATAGCAACACTACCCGTTATAAAATCGTGCACAGCCCGTGAAATTTATTTGTTACAAGTAATCTGTATGCAGATGTTTGATCGTTCAGGGATCGCTTAGCCCCAAAGTGATCAAAGCTTCGCCGGTCCTACCACAGAGCTTCTTATAACTCCTATCGATCATAAATTTTGTCTAGCAATTCATCCAAAGACATGGACTAGGCGGTCTCGTCGCGGCAAAAGAAATCTTGACCTCAGGCTTGCCGGTGTCCGTGATGATACTGTGATCAGGTACCTCCCACGAATCTTAGTACAATGTTAAGAGAAAAAAAAGGGATGGCGACAGCGATAATTCACACGTATGACGTAGTTCATTAAATACCACGAAAAAATGCCCATCAGAAACTTTGGTCAAACATCAGTTACCTCCCGAGCATATCATGGCTTATTAGCAAGGCTTCAGTCCTGTGAGGTTGTATGACATAAGTCATGATGAGATTATTGTGTCTCGAGGAAACTGAGATAAAGAATATTGCTCAGGAGTGATATTTGCCGTGCAGTGAGGTTGGTTATTTGCTCCGATTCATTGGGGAAGTGGCTCCCTGATACAGTATCTTTTAAATCTAGCTAGGTATGGCGGCGGGTAACTAAATAGAGGAATGCTTGAAGAAAGATTAACTGTTCATAATTTCGACGGGATCATGGCAGAGGGTTGAGATCAAAGATCAATCAAAACCAGAAATATAAGGAGTAATTCATGAGTGCATTACTTGTAGCTTGAACTGAATCTAGCCATTCGGGGCTCACCAAAGCTTACGGCCCCTTGAATTTTATCAAGCGTGGCACGAGCAGTAGCTCACTCCTTTTCCAATTAAGTAAAGGGTAATGAATCCCAGTCACAGTGAAGTTAGAATTGACCTCATTTAACTCTAACTGGCGTTTGAAGGGTCCACGCATGTCGCTATGAACCGTATAATTAATGTATTTACATCAGATGGAGATAATCCATGAAGCTATTCAGCCTTGTTCCTTTGACCACTTAGAACTTTGTATTTGTCTGTAAATGAGATTAGCACTGTAGTGCTATCTACGCATGCGAATTAGATTTCCATATCGGAAAAAGGGAGCTCTTCGCCCTTGAGCGGTGATGATATAAACGCCCAGCGTGCTCTGCAAGCCTGAAATAGCCAAGAATCGCATCTTCTCTGACTAGTCTCGTGGTCTGTGTCGTTTTCATCTCTCGGCACATCCCCCAATTACCATTATTATGAAGCTAACCATGATCAGACCAGGCGGTAGGATCGAAGCTCTACTCGTCGTCCACCCGCTCGGCCATGGAGAAGAAGCCATCCAATGAGTCTTTGGAGCATACCCAGCACCCGATACGGCGATAGTGGACTGGATAAAGTTGAACTCATTTGTTACGTGTAATGCAAATATAGATGGATATGCGCGCCTCATGTGGCTCCGGTGTCTAGGGCTTGTCTGACTAGGGCTACAGGCCTTTTGAGGATTTCCTCGCGCGTGTATTATCCATTGCTACCTTCACCTTTATCTTTTTGTGTAAAATGCTTCAAAAATAAGGTTGATGAATTTTATTGGTAGAAACTGCGCTAAATAACTATCCATCATGGATATTGAATGGGACATATTTTTGTAAAGAGCATTGGAGCACTGCATAAGGTGCGGCCTAAATACGTGAGGAGCTCAACGCATCAGATACTCACGGTCTCAAGCAGCACATTAAATTACCAAACAACTTCTCCCCTGAGCCCATGTTTTGCTCGTCTGCTTTCTTCTCCTCGGCAACATCTTGATGGCTCTATGATTTGGATTTGATCTATCCAACCGTGGTCCATTTGATATCATCAGGACTATTCGTCTTTTCTCCGAGAGAATAATCTTGGTCTTTTACCCATGCTTCATCTATGGGATTTGATCATGAAAGTCAGAACATGATTGTGTGTTGTGATTCTGTGATTGATGGTTACATGAACAGCTTGGGCCGTAGACTCTTGGAACTATTCTGTATTAATACGAGCAAAGGCGGCCAGGCTCGCTTCAAATTCGTTTGGGAAAACTGCTTTAAGCCCTTGTCAAGCCTTGATGCAGAGAAAGCGATGATTTTTGTCGATTCATTATTCGCTGAACACGGCATCGGCTTCTCTCTAGATTACAGCATCAGCTGTCGGAGTTGCCTTCGGCTGGTCTAGTGTTCACGCACTCTAGATATGCCGTGTATTTTCTACCTCTCTCTGCAAGTATTTGATCGCCGAAAATCTCACCTAGTGGGCTCTATCTATCCTTCTATACGCCTCTGAATATCTTCACTTCCTTATTTGGGAAGCTTGATCTTGCTACAGGGAGATTCATTCAATGGCCGATGTATTGAGCCCTTTGTTGCTCTGATTGGATCCCCATGGGCTAAGTATTGACTAGCATCTTTTTGCTGGTCGACGTGTAAGCTGCTGCGGTTGTTTCAAAGCAATTCTCTATGAGCTTCTGAGAGGTTTTACCATGCCCTCAGAAAACAACTACTTGGCTCGACCTCGGTCTAGATCGGGGGCTAATAGGTGAGGGCCAGTCTCGATATCACCCTACATCGTAACTTTGTCTCGTAAAATGCCGTCACTCCTCCTCAGTGTGTTAGTCGACTCCTTGCCTGATCTGTCGTCTCTGCCGTCAGGGGGAAACTTTCAACGACCGCTCCCCGGCTCGGCTTCGCGTCAAAGCAGATCCCGGGAACATAGAGAGAGGGCTATGGTACTGTCGTATCGCCTCGGATGTCAAACACCGCTTCGCTTTTGGGCTCTGATTGCGTTGGGGATTTGCCGCGTCGAGAACATGTCTCCTCCTCGCTCGCACGAAGAGCATCAGCTGAGACTCTATCGTAAATGTGACTACATGATGTTTTACCTGCTACTGGTCGATCGCATTTCCTGCCCTCGGTATTTCTCCTTTGATGAGTTTGGCCGTTGTTGAAGTGGGTTACATTATCAGATACCAATTGGCGGCTAATTCGGCAGGGTCTCTATTGAGTCTTCTGCGGTCTCTCGAGCGTGTGTAAGCCCCAAGACTCTCAGTCGGCCCTCTTCAAAGCCCTGTGCTAATCCAAAACTTGGCCTACTATGTAGATAGCTGACTTGGCTCAGCCGTAAACTGTCAGTCTAGAGACTCATAGCTAATGTGCAGATTTGGGCGATGTGATTAATCAAACTACGGTCACCAGACCCCTCCCCTCGACACTAATTGGGGTGCCTTTCTTTACATCATTTACTGCGCATGCAGCTATGAAGTCCTGAAACATGATGAGTACCATGTGCAATTGTAATATGACTTTGTGAGTTTGAAGACTATCATACTCTAGATTTTACTTGCAAATGCTATGACAAGGTATGTTTGTCTACGCACAACAGTCGGCCCTTGTCCGTGAGTAGCTATTTTTTGGGCTAGATTTTAATTACGTACGCAGCCATCTCGCTATGATAAAACATTAGAGATGAAGAACAGAATAGATGACTCCATTTAAAATTAGAGCACTCAAGCCTCGCATGACTGTCTGTCATTGAGAGGGTTCATGAACTGGTTATCAAAGCCCGCAAGAAATACTAGAGAGAGTGCTTTTTTTGAGCTAATGATCTTTGTCTAATCAGGTTAAGTGTCCAGGGTTTAGGGCATCTGCTTCAGAGACTGGTCCAGATGATTTACCATATCACCACCTAGCCATGACTGCTCTTATGGTGTACTTTTCACCCTCCTGGATCGAGCCATGCTTTGTCATAGCTAGATGGCTGGATATAAGGTGATTTAAAAACACTTCAAAATATCGAGCCGTGTATTTGGTGACCAGCTGAGGCCAGAGAATAGTTATTGAGAGGCATGGTCGTTAAAATGAGGATGTAATAGATGACACTTGAAGACTTAATAAGTCTTTGGCCGCAAATAATCCTGATAGGACTGATAATTTGACGTGGTTGGTAGTCAAGAATCATTGCCTTGTGGTTTAACTTCTTTGATATCACGGAAATTGATTGAACTTAGCTATGGACAAACGTTCCAGAGCGAAGTTCGAAGTGGTCGCCACGTGTTGACGTTCATTCTTCGTCCGACATTGTTGGAATTTTTTTGCATCAGATTTTAATTGCGTATGCAGCTATCTAGCTATGACACAATATCAAAGAAATGTACAAAATAGATGACATAACTTAAAAAATAGAGCACTCATGCCTCAGATTTCATTTGCAAGTACCACTGCGAAGTTATGGCGGCTTTTTCTTCACCCCAAGTCAACCCTCATCCGTGAATACCCACCCAGGGGAACATCTCAAAAACCCCGAGTTA